AGGAGATTAGACTGTTAAATGACCGCGTAAAATTCGTAACTTCTTCATACGGACTCCGTTTTCATCTGTCTTTTTATTGTTGAGTTCCTATTAATGAGATCTTCAACTCTCATTTAGGTCGCGTAGGCCAGAAACCGCTCGAACTAAAATTCAAGTTTCGGGCCGTGCACTGCTTTGCCAAATCTTAGAAAATTCATAACTTCCTCATACGAAGTCAGATTTGGGCGTTCTTTTTTTGTATGTTCTCGGCTTAACGTATATTACAAGTTTTGTTTAGATTTATAAGGCTAAAAAGTCCTCCATCGTAAATTCACTATTTACATCTCCCGGTGTCGTGTTGGTTTTGCCGAAAAACTTCGACGGGTCATAACTTCTTCGTTATAACTCGGATTTCGGCGTTCTTTATATGTACGGAACCCTTGTGACATATACTACCACTTGGAAAAGATTAATACTTCTAAATAATATTCCATCAAAAACTCATATTTTTATGCTTATTGTCTCTAAATTGACTAGCCCGGTTCTGCGGGCGTTACAATACTAGTATTCTTGTTTGTTTGTCCACCTGATCAAGGAATAAATGAATTAGTTTTACTAAAGGATTAGTCTTTTGATCATAAATTCTAATCAACTTAGGAATCGGTAAGCAACAACAACTTAATCCATTGTACTTTCCAAGAAATCAACTATAAGAGTAGTGTGAATCGTATCTAAATGGAAGTTTCTTTAATATCTTGCTTTAAACCTTAATTTAGATTGATTTTTGTTAGTTAACTCGTTTTTGGTGATAATTGGTTTTTTTAATTACTTTAATAATAAATTTATGAAAGTACATTCCTATTTCTTGATTTTGATCTTAATTTGTTTTGTCTACTAGAATGGCTCACCAAATTCTCATATTTCATTTCTGTCATGCATAGAAAAATAGTGGAGATACTAATTCAAGGACTTCCATTGTTATCTTTGAAATTGTTCCATCTAACTGCAGTGATTGTCAAATTTGTTTCGAAGACTTCCATGTCGGGGATGAGGTAGAATTCCTTTTTATATTTGTATTAAATGCTAGAAATAACAATGGACTTTCACTGGTTTCTTTATTAGATAATCCTACTTCCATTTATTTCATTACATTTTCCTATTCATAAACAATGGAGTTTTGTAATAGGGGTGGTGGATTCATATCACCAGTTGCCCGAATGTGATGAAATGAAATTAGGATGCTATATATATATATATATATATATATATATATATATATATATATATATATATATATAATATATATATATATATATATATATATATATATATATATATATATATATATATTAGAAAGGTTTGGGCTCGTGCTTAGCACGACCCACAGAAAGTAATTTAGGTAAATATTTTTATATAATCTAAAATAAAATGTGCTAATATCCTAAAAATGATGATTTTTTCTTTAAATGTGTGGATTATGAAAAAACATGAATAAGAAAAAGAACATGGAAGTATATTGTTATTATCAACGAATAAATGAAAGTTCGATTTTATAATTTTTGCATGACGGTTGTTACATAATGGAATTAAGTTCCAATTCCGGCCATAATCTAGCAAAATAAACACCTGTACGAGATAGTAAAAAGAGCATGAGAATATAGAGTTCTTGTAGAACAGCTTTTATATTTTCCTTGCACATGCAAATAAACTTACTATACAACCTCTGTTATATCATTAACCACATGAACATGATCTAATCGCAACTCTTTGTAGAGCCTTTCTTCAAGATAAATCAATCTATATAAAATAAATAGTTTCTATGATATGTTAGTATGCCATTAACTCATTGATTTAAATTTTTGAGATTATACATAAAGAATGTGCTCACTAACTTTCGGGCTACAAAAAGGACATTTAGCAGCATATTCACACAATATGGCAATATAAAAAATGATGGTTTGAGGACATTTATAATCAATTTAACCACCCAAAAACAACAAAATAAAATATAAAATCCGCAATGCATTGAATCACAACCTACTTTCATCACTTTATTGTCAAATAGATGTAGCAAACAATAATACATCATCTAAATATGACATACTTCATCTACCATAATATTTATGACAAAACAAAAAAACAGATTTTTAGTGACAAAATATACCCCAAATCTCCGTAATGGATCTCCATCTAATATATCAGTTCCTGCATTTTAGATCACCAATTCATGATTAAATGTGTTCTTTATAACCTAATATTTCACTCCAAGAACCAATGATGATGAACACTTACCTCGTGTGCATTTTGTTGAATGTGTGAAAATCATAAATGTGCAGATGGAATAATATATATACTAGGTGTAAAACCCGTGTATTACACGGGTTGATTAAATAAAATAAAATATTAAAATGTAAATATTAAGTATTTTTAAAAATAAAATTTTGAAATAAGGAATGAAGAACATATTAATTGCAATTTATATAATATTTGTTACACTTGATACTTTACATATATAAGTATAAGATTATGTTGCTTTTTAATTTTAAAAATTGAAAAAAAAAACTATAAATTGACATGTGGATATTATTTATTTAAAAAATATCACAAAATGACAAGTGTCAAAACTTATCAGAGATTGAAATGTGGTAAAATTATTTTCATTTATTATAATAGACTAAGTGTAAAACTCATGTATTACATGAGTTAATTAAAAAAATTAAATATAAAAGTTTAAATATTTAAGAACTTTGGATTTATAAGAAAATAAGAAAAATAATGAACTATTAAAATTGATTTTTTTATCTTTTAAATTTAAATAAATAAACAAAATAAACTAATGAGCTTTAATTTGAGAATTTTTAAATAAAAAGGTAAGTCCATTGATGAAATTGATATTTATTTATTACTACATTTATTGTAATTATTACATTAAAGTATTTTTTGAAATTTATTAAAATAGAAAAACTCATAAAATGACACGTGGAAAAGAAATTAAATCAAAATAACCACAAAATTACATTTGGCAAATCGAATGAGAGTGTGACATGTGGCAAAAAAAATCTTCATTTATTATAGTAGATTAAGAAATGCATGAAGCGGCTACCACTAACTTCAACTGGATTATCAAAATATCTCCCATCTATATAGAATTGTAATCAGTTACGTAAAATTTAGAAGATCATATTCATAAAAAATATTATTTGAACAACTTAACATGATTGATACGACATGTTTAGAAAATATATGAAGGAAAAAATACTAATCAAAGTTAAGCATTTAAGAAAACTTGTTAGCGGTAATTTGGTTGACAGAAACATTTTGACAAACAGGTGGACTACAAAAGATTCGCAAGAATAATGCATGTCCTGCCAATGCTCGACCAAATTGATATCATAAAGAGTTATAAAAGATACAAAAAAAATGATATGTCATTACAGGATGAAATTGACCATATATGTATTCTCAAAAACCCCAAAAAAGAAAAAAAAAAAGCATTTATCCCGAAATATGTATCACTACTGTTACTATCACAATTGTTTATAAAGAAATATTTATTGAATCCTAATCAAAAGCAATCTAGATTAACAATTATCAAGAAATATTTAGGGTGGAAAGGGGAGGATACAAACCAGATGATAGAAAATATGAAGAAATTGAGGATGAGAAATCTTTATTTAGCCTTGTATCTTCAGTTTAATTATTGCCAGAAACTGAAGGTAGATGAATTGTAGTCATCGATCCATGAAGTCACATGGTTCAATTTAATACCCAATCCAACTTAAAGTAAAATGAAAGAACTTGTCAAAGTGATTATCTTGAAACGGGCACATGAATTTACCGAAAATATTATATAATTGTAACTTCCTTTTGCTCCTCGCATGTTCCACACATGGAATAAAAGTGATAGATGAGGGTTTCTGAGAAACCATATCCCCAGTCACTTCCCTGGAATTCCTAATCCCATGAATTGAAGTATTCTGTTTCAGAGGCGTTCAAATCAAGAGATATGTTGCGTTGTTCCAGGAGTTGGCTACGTGGAGTTTATTGAACACTATCACTTTCTTGTAGAAAGCACCAAAATAAAAGGGCTTTTATATATAATATATATATATATAGATATATATATATATATAATATATATATATATATATATATATATATATATATATATATATATATAAGTACATTGCTATTTTTTGTCCAGAAATCATTTCAAGATCTTTGATTATGTTATGATTCGTTCAAACCCATGTGGTAGCGTCGTGCCTTTTTACTAGTTATTATTAAATAAATTTAAAACTTTCGAACGGATTTTACATATATCAAAGTTTTTGGCTTGTTAATGTGACGATGATATCACACAAAAAATTTATTAAAAATAATCATCTATTGTGATGCTTAAGATTGTCCGATTTACAACTTTTAAACTAATTATGTAAAGCGATTAAAATATACTCCCTCCGTCCCATATTAATAGTCCATGTTTCATTTTTGGTTTGTCCCAAAATAATTGCCTACTTCTAAAAATAAATATGTATTTTACCATAATACCCCTCATTGTTAGTTAAATTACCATAAAATTAAATGCAATTACCATAGAATTAAATGCAACCGAAGAGTAAGACTGTCATTTTATTTAATAAAGTTAATGGTAATTAATGTTTTCTTAAACTGTGTGTTTTTTTGTCTGTGGACTATTATTTTGGGACAGATGGAGTATTTATTTGATTTATTAAATGTTTACCGACTTGACTATACAAATATCCAATGTATGGGGCTTCGCCTCCTAGTCCTCATCAGTCCTTCCGAAACGGCATATCATCCTTCCTATTCCTCCCATGCCTTGCCCTAATGTACCAGAATTTTCCGGCCACCTCCCTGATTAACTTTCAACAGTATCTATTCTTAATCTTTCCTTAAAAACTACAAACTTAACGATAATGATTAAACCCACGCCATCACCCCAATCTTAATACATGACACACGGTTTTCTTCCCTGAGAGGATTGACCGGCCACCGCCATGGGTCGGTCATCCACCAGGGAGTCACCGATGCTTGAGATCAAGGTGCAGCAACGCCGTGACAACACCCCTCCACCCGGTTCTTCCTCGGTGACGAACCAACCATCACGTCCTCGCCACCCTTCTCCGTCTCCTGAATTCAAACCATATAAAGATTGGTATCCTTGGTTAGTGCCTACCATTGTTTTTACCAACGTCGTTCTCTTCTTAGTTTCCATGTTCATCAACAATTGTCCTGCCCATTCGAACAAATGCATAGCACCAGAATTCCTCAAACGTTTCGCGTTCGAGAACATGAAGATAAACCCTCTTCTTGGTCCGTCTGCAGCCACGTACGTTTTTCGTGTCGTTTTTTGCGTTCCATAAATGATTTTGCATATATCGTTCTTAGAATCTTTCTAGGGGTTGCGTCAATTTATGGGGTTTTTGTATTTTAATGTTGTAAGGTACCATGATAAAGTTCTTGATACAACTCCTTTCACACAATCATATATGCAAACACGCATTCAATCTCTTGTTTAGAGATTAAAATCTTGAATTTCAACTAGATCATCAAGATTAGGGTTTATTTATGCACACTGATTCAATTCTACTACATTTCTCTAGGCTGTTAAAATTAGGAGCTTTAGAATTTAAAAAAACCGTTGAAGAAAGGGAAGAATGGCGCATCGTGACTTGTATGTGGTTACACGCCGGTGTGTTTCATGTCTTGGCGAACATGATGGGTCTGGTTTTTATAGGGTCTCGCCTCGAGCAAGAGTTTGGATTTTGTAAGTACAGTCTTACAAACTCATACACCATGCATTTCTTTTCGAGGAGATAGATCGATTCAAAGTTCAAGATACACTGTTTTAATTTTGCAGTGAAGATCGGTGTGATTTACGAATTATCTGGAATTGGAGGAAGTCTTCTGTCATCTTTGTTTGTAAGAACAAGCATCTCCGTTGGTGCTTCTGGAGCTCTATTCGGTCTACTCGGAGGAATGCTCTCAGAACTTCTTACAAATTGGACGATTTATGCCAACAAGGTTGCATGGTTTAATTAACTAAACTTTTTTTACATACGAAAATTCTAATAAAATCAAACATATCGGAGATCCCGTAATCATTTCATCGTTTTAAACATTGTCAGTCTGCAGCATTATCAACTATGATCATCATCATCCTCATTAACGTTGCTGTTGGAATTCTTCCACATGTAGACAACTATGCACATATTGGAGGATTTTTAACAGGTTTCTTGCTAGGGTTTATCGTTTTGATCCGTCCGCAATTCAAGTGGACAAACCAGAAACACGTTCCTCCTGGCTATATCGCCCCAACCACGAAATCCAAATACAAAAGTTATCAATACATACTTTTGATTATCTCCCTAATTGTTCTACTTGTTGGGTAAGTCATCTAAGTGGACTTGTTTTTAGAAACCTCTTGCATTATGAGATATGGGAATCGAGTTGTACGTTTATATTAAGATCACATATTTGCAGATTTACGGTTGGTTTGGTTTTGCTTTTTCACGGGGTTGATGGAAACGATTATTGTTCGTGGTGCCATTATTTGACTTGTATCCCTACACCTTTATGGACTTGCGAAGTGCGTTGCAAGGTATGGAGTTCAGGATTAATCTTTGATTAATTTTGAATCACTCTTTTAAATTACCCAATTTAATCATACAAGTCGAAGCACATTTAAGGGTAATATATGTTATTTCCTTTTCAGTTGGATAAGTTAGACAAGCAAATAAATATGACATGCCTACATAATGGGAAATTCGACTCTTTTATGCTCGAGGATGGTAATGACATCACCGAGATGCAAACATTGTGCTTAGAACTTTGTAGCCAAATGTCTTGACGATCAATTGAAATGGCATGGTGGAACATGAACAATTGCTCAAGACTCATGAGTTTTATTTGGTTTGTTTCAAGATGTAACTCATAAAATGCTAACAACCTCGTTTTTTCACGACTTGTATATTGAAATTAATGGTAAAAATGTTTATATGTTCTTTGTACGTGAAGCAAGGTAAATATTTGGCATTAACATGTAATTGATATGATGTTTATCAGGAATTATCTACCTATCTAATAAATGAATCATTTTTTACCATGAGTCATCTCTTTAGCGTATTTTATATAAAAGTTAAATTACTTATATACATTTTACCTATTTACTTTATAATCTCCAAATCCACGTTCACCCACATTTTGTACTCTCCATAAAATCAAAATTCAAATCCCTCCCAAACTCCTACCAATTTCTTTACTTATCAAATCCCGAATATACGCCTTCGGTATTTAACACCATTTGAAACGCATTGGAAGAGATAACAGTTTCCAACTTCAATCCGAGAAATCAGCTTCTAAATTACCAACCTTTTCGTGTCGATTAGAAAGAGCGGCACTTGAAATTCATGATTTTAAGGATTTGTGTCTTCTAAAATGGCGATTTAATTTTGCGGATTAGGGTTCGATTTAAGCATTTCGTCTCTCTCTATTTTGGTAAGGGATCGACTCCTCTGTCTTCGACCACTTTAAATTGCTATTCGATTTGGTTTACAAATTGATGGAGGTAATGTGCGAATCGTTTCCATTACTTTTGTTTTGTTTGTAGTTTCGATTGCAAAACATCTACACATTTGATTCCACGCCTTGCTTCTATTTTCTATTACTTTCGTTTTGTTTTTAGTGATGCTTGCGATTCATTTATGAGTTTGTCAAAGTATCATGGTGTATCTCGATTACCTGATTTCACTTTGTCTTTTAGGGATTTTGGTTTTGTTTTCTTCCTAAAAACAAACCCACTTTGAAAATTAGAAGAAAATATGTAAACAATTTAGTCATTGCTTACATATAAATTAACAATATGTTTTCCCATTGGGATTACAGTCAAATCACAAAGCATTACAAAAGGTTCTCCATGCCAGGAACTATGTAGTTAAATGTATTATGATGTTCGCTTCTTTTTATCATGCTAATTAGCTTTTGACTTTTTTTTCGCTCTTTATCTGTATGTATAAATATCAAACTGACAGCGTTCTTATATGTTTGCAGTATGTGATTAATTATGTGATTGTAGAGATTGGATAATATGTTCTTTTTTGATTAAATGCATTTCATCTGATGAAAAGGCTCAGTAACAAAATAAGAATTTAGAATGAATTTTACAGGTAAAACTTATTTGATTTTGTGTCTTGACTTATAGTAAACGAGAGTTTGATGAACTCATAAGGAAGGATGTCTTAAGATTAAAAAAGATTCAAGGGTACAAAAAGAGAGAGACTGAAAAGAAACAAGAAGTTATTAAAAATTTTTATTTGTGAGGTGATGTTTCTTCAAAGTATAGGGGACAATTTCATCAACCGATAGTTTTTCTTCAAAGAAAGAGAAGACATCTTTTTCTGATATAAAGGTCATTAATAGTATCATTTCATCGAGTTTCCCCTTTTACTATCTCTTTTGTTTTATAAGTTATTTAATTGATTTACGGTGTCAAAGATTATGACGACCAGTTTGCATAAATTGTGGTTACATAAAGACATAACAGCTATCCCTAAAAAATTAGTAGTTTATTTTATTCTATAAGCATTACTGGTGTTTTTGTTTTTATTTAGTAGTTGATTTTGAGTTCATTTTGGTCTAAGGCTACAAGCATATAAATCTTGATCTTCATATTATTTTTCCTGATTTCTTGCTTTTATGATTCACTAAAAGTGAAAAAAAATGTTTGACAAATGTGGTTATCACATGTGCTATTATGTTGTTTGATGTGGTAACTTATTAAAGCTAATTAGTTCTGTTGTTGAATGTTGTAGTCTTTTGGTAAGTAACAAATGACATAAAAGAATGTTATCATGAAAACTACATTACCTATTTACTAATTACTACAAACAGGAAATGTATTTTTTACAAAATTTACATGAACTTTTACACGATAATCTTGGGTTTTCTCACCTCTTTGTGTTCTTGTAAGTTACTCATTCTATGGGCGTCTTTGCATTTTGGGGATTTTTCTTAACTTTAGGTGCAAGTGAGTAATATGTTGTGGGCATGCTTCTAATTCAATGCCCGTAAATTGGATACAGGATATTCATGATGAATTATTTGTAAATAATTTGATTATAGAATGTTTCATGGCCACAAGATATTTGATACGACTGTTTGATTTATATCACATTGGTCTCAATTCGTTCTAATTCATGAATTTCACATTACTTAATCCCCAAATCTAAGCCATCCTAATTACAGCCCTTTTCAGCCAAAGGTTTATTACATGGTTGAGATCCATTAACAAACAAAGCAAAATTTTAGAATTCTCATTGGAATTATTCAAAATTTGAACTAACAAATGTAATTGATACTACCTTTTACGTATGACTTTTTTGTGTGTCAGTTCTATCATTAACTCTTATATATCTTTGCTTATTTTTGCAATTTTCGTGTCAATTTTCTTTAAAAATGAAACTCTAACATGATTTTAAGGAATTTAACTAGAATACATGGAGTATAAGTACAAAGGGTAAATAGAAAGAAAAATAAAGTTGAATGTTATAGTGAACAAATAGGTAGAGGCAGGTTGTTGATTTGAAACACATAAATATACATAATTATGTCATGATATAATAACTTTCATATTTTTTTCAAAGTTATTTTTGTTTTTATTTATTGTTTATTTGAAATGTGATTGTAACACAATAAATAAAAATTAGTTCAAACGTTTAATGTAAAGTTCCAAATTTCTACCATTTTACAGTGCAAGAAAATAAAAAACGATTCGTTATATATGTTATGTTTGCATGAAATTTGATATAATAATAATAAAAGCTCTAAATCTTATTTTTTATTTTTTCATATGACAATGTATTGTATCCTACTCTCTCTTATGCTCTAACTCTTAGGATATAGTTGCAAAATATAAATAAGGTGTTATTTGTTTATATGTTGTTTTAGTTATGCATCTAAGTAATATATAATTAAATATTAAAAGACAACCATAAAATAAATGACAACTAACTTTGTAACATTTTTTTTTAATAGTATCTATTTTACAATTGGATCCGTAACATCAATATAAAAGTATAAAAGTTTAAACAAAACTTATATCATCTTAATTTAATAAATTTTATAAATCTTTGATTTTTCATTATCATTTTTAATTATCAATATTGTTTTTCTTTTTTTACCTGTGGTTTCTACGGGTTGTAACATAATTTATATAATACAAAAAACTATAGGCATATATGTTGGATTTGGTGTCTAAGTCCATAACTATAACTGAGATGTACTTGACCCGATTGTAGTATGGTCATTTTGGGTTGTCTTCACCAATGCAATTTGATAGTATGGACTTTTGAAAATAAGGTTATTATGATTTATTAATATAAAATCATATTATTTAATTAGTATTGATCAAGAATTAATTTGGAATTAATTTTGTGATCAAAAGAGACTAATTAAATATATGAGGATTGATTGTGTAAATCAATGATTCTAATAGTGTGGGCTAATGATTCATGATTATTTAGGATGGGCTAAACCAATGAGATAATCCATGGATAGTCCATGGAGGTTTAACCCATGGAGCCTAAGTAATATGAAAGGTCATTAGGGTTTACAAAGTGTAACCCTAGCATTTGCCACACTATAAATAAACCCCCCTATGGCCAAAATCGGTGACACCATTATACATAAGGTTCTTGAAGAGTGATATTGATTTTGTGCAAGTAACTTATTCTCTCAAGCCTCCTCTTGCATGTTGGTGTTTGAGAACCATTAGAGGCATCACACTTGGGGTGCTCAAGCTTTCAAATGTCAAGAACTACAAGTCCTTGTAAGAGGTAAGTCATCTAACTAGTTGTATTGTTCATTTGACAATTTGTATGCTAGTTAGGTTATATGCTTTGGGAAATTGTAAATATGCATATATAATTAGAGAAAACATAGATCCAAAGCATTTAGGTTGCATGTGCACCATAGGAGTGTTATAGTGCTCAAAACCCAACAGTGGTATCAGAGCCTAGGTTTGTTTTCTGTTATACTTGATGCTTGTTAGTTTTCCAAGTTGAAAAAATCAAATTTTTGGCATCTGACTGATGAACTCGCCGAGTCCACTGGCTGACTCGACGATTCCACTCAGAAACAGAGCAACTCGACGAGTCAGTTCATGCACTCGACGAGTTGCAGGCTCTGGTTGCAAAAATTCGAGGTTTTTGGCCAGAATTGGATTAGGATCATTACCACAAACTGTTAAGAATCATAAAATCTGTTTTTTCCGATATGGTAGTGATCATTCTCATCCAATTGCAAGATAATTGTCAAAGGTTTAAGATAATTGTTGATTTATATGATAAACAAAGTTGCTTGCAAATTATTGACTTGATATTATCTTGTTTATGAGTTTAGCTAGATTAATCTGGAATTTTATGATAATTTTAGTTGTTGAAAATTGATCTAAATGAATTTTAATGACCTCCATAACTTGTCCTCAAGTTATGGAAAATGAAAGGTCTCATCTTTAAAATTGCATTAAACTCATAAGTTATGAATTCCAAGAGTCATCAAAAGATAGTTGTCAAAATTCTTATGATAGTTGTTAGTTTATAAGTTAATCTAATTACTTGTATCATTTGATTTGAAACTATTTTTGCCTTATGAGTTAGTTTAGATAATGTTTAAAAATTATATGATAATTTTCCTTGTTAGAATTGATCTAAATGTTCTTTAATGAGTTCCATAACTTGCCCTCAAGTTATGGAACATGAAAAGTCATATCATAAATGTTTTAATGAACTCCATAACTTGTCCTCAAGTTATGGAAAATCAAGAGTCTTTTCATAAAATCAACATTAACTCATA